AAGAAATTCATCCAAGCGCGGGTAAGGAATGTGTGATCGAGTGGTTAAAGAAGGTGCTTCGCCTGGAATGGATGTTGAATATGTCGAGTTGGAGGTTCCGATCTCGGGATGGGCCTGCACCCAATGCCGAATGGAATACAGCGGATGTAGACGCTTGATGAAGCATCTCCGTGAACAACACTCACTGTCAGTGAGGTTCAAGTGTTCCAAGTGTGGGAGGCTGGGGGACAATTATTTGTCCGCTACCATCCACCATGCCAAGTGCGTATCTAAACCAGAATCTCCACCACTGGAGAATCCGTACTTGTGCCCCGAGTGTAGGACACCGTTTGTTTCAAAACGTGCAATGACCCAACATAGACGACATAGGCACATCCAGGCCTTAAACTCGGAACGACTCCAAGCCATTACAACTCCGAAAGCATTGGCGAGAAACAGAGTATGGGCACCAAGTGAAGTGACCCGCTTTACGGAAGCCATGCAGGAAGAGATATCCATGACCAAGAACCGACTGAGCGCCCTGACAACAGTGTTCCCCGGGAAAACGGAAATGCAGATTCTAAACAAATGGAAAGCCTTGCGTAGGTCGCAGCTCAAGCAGCAGCGGCTAGCAAGTCCGGTACAAGTACCTTTGTCGGTCGGGACTGAGGATCAACCCAGTCCGAATCCGACCTCTAAGAAGTGTGGACATAAGTGGCCAGTAGTTATTGGAAGAAGTTGGAAGTCAGTCCTGGGTTCGACTGAGAAACTAATCGAGAACATCAGGAGACTGGACCCAGTAGGCACCCTCGATCACATGCCCAAACGTGGGAAGCGGCAGGGAGGGAGAGCCACACTTTCGCATCAAAGGCGCAAGCGTCGCTTCGCCGAGGTGCAAAGGATGTGGGATCTGGTTCCTGATAAACTAGCAGAACTGGTTCTCGACGGGGATGGGAGTAGGGCCCTACCCGATAAAGAAGTCGCTTTTAAGCACTTCAAAAACTTGTTTGAAACGCCCAATGATAGGTGCGTACCACTCGGCTTCGTAAGAAGAGCCAATGACTGCCAGCCACCCAAACCCATCACTGACGAAGAGGTGTTAGCGGTCATCAAAAGATGTCGCATCAAAGGTGCAGCAGGACCGGACGGCTTACGCCCCGTGGGCCTCAAGCGGGCACTTAAACGAGGCGTTGAGCGCGAGTTGTTTGCCCTATTCAGTTTGTGGCTGAAGTGCCGAAGGATGCCCGCACGTCAGTGCGAGCATAGAACGGTGCTGATCCCTAAGAACGGGGCAACTCCGCAGGATATGGGCACATGGAGGCCGATCACCTTAGGTAATCTCCTCCTTCGCCTCTTCACGAGTATCTTGGCCAAGAGAATTGCGTCGGAGGCTCCTTTCAACGAGATTCAGCGCGGGTTTGTGCCATGTGATGGTATCACAGAGAATATCTTCTTGTTCGCCCGCTGTCTCAAGGAAGGTAGCAGCCAGAGCGATGCAACGGCGATTGTCTTACTTGACTTCGCCCGGGCCTTTGACTCGGTTGGGCACACGCACATATTCACTGCTCTGGACCGTTTGGGTACGTGTGACGCGTACACGGAAGTGTTCCGATATTTATATGCGAAAGCTAGCACCCGCCTCCAAATAGGTGGTGTGCACACCGAGGCAATTCAGTTCAAGCGGGGAGTCATGCAAGGCAATCCGGCTAGTACGGAATTGTTCAAAGCAGCGATCGACCCATTGATTTGCAGCCTGCAGAAAAGTGGTGATGGCATCACACTCCGAGGGGCTCCCAAGAAATTGGGCTGCCTTGGCTTCGCAGATGACATGATTGTCCTAGCGGAGAGCATTGAGGGCATGAAAAGGCAGTTGGCGATAGTCTCTGACTTTTGCATGAGCTTTGGAATGAAACTCAATGTACGGAAGTGCAAGTCGTTACTCCTAAGACGCGGCAGTGAATGCATGGTAGTTGATGACACTGTGAACTGGCATATCGGTGAAGAGATAGTACCTCAGGTTCCTGTTGATGGTGTAATGCGGTACCTTGGGGTAGATTTCACCTCTTATAGGGCCTGCGCACGTTCGGTTTGAAGCTAAAATTAGTGTCTTGGATTGAGAAGATCGGGGAGTTTCGTGGGCTGAAGCCCCACCAGCGTGTCTCGCTTCTTAGTGAGTACGCCGTCCAACGACTTATCCATGCGCTTAAGTTCCGCCCACTAGCGGGGTGTTCTTGGATGAGCTCGACCGGTTGGTGCGAAAGGGCGTGAAGGATTGGTGCAAGCTGCCTCCATCTGCGACTGATGGAGTTATGTACGCAGCAAGAAAGGATGGTGGTATAACCATCCCCAAAATCAGTGCAATTATCGACACGGCGAAAGCCAACTCCATAAGACGACTCCGCAAATCTTCATTTTCGGTTGTACGTTCGGTTATTGCTAGTCTCTCTGAAGACGAGATAAGCTCCATCTGGAGTTCTTCTCGGAAGAGAAAAGCTGGCTCCAACTGGCGTAAGACTGAGATGGCGAAATGGGAATGGTTGCCCGTACAGGGATATGGAGTGAGACACTTCATGGGTTCGACAGTCAGCAACAGCTGGTTGAAGAAACTGCAAGGCATGAAGGCAAGCACTTGGAGCAAGTCCGCACTGACACCTTTCCGACACGAGCTGCTTTGCTGAGAGGAGGAAGGAGTGGTACGCAGGAATGTCGCTTATGCCGATTTCCGCACGAAACACTTAGACACCTTCTCTCACTATGCCCAGCACTTCACGGGCAAATCATAAGAAGACACAACAGAATTGTGGACCTTTTGGCGAGCAAGGCTGGTGAGATTGGTTGGAGAGTCCGTAAGGAGTTCCGTTGTCGGCTGGAAAGCGGGGAAACCCGTGTCCCTGACTTAATCATCCATGATGGGGGTGGACGGGCCATTGTCGTCGATGTGGCGATAACTTACGAGACCGAGCAGCCAGATGTCTTTGAAAGAGCCTATGAAGCTAAAGTCAGGAAATACGAATGTCTTCGTGACTACCTGAAAGCAGAGAGACTTGGTGAATCTGTCTCCGTTCATGGATTCGTTCTTGGGAGTCGAGGGGCTTTCCCGGAAATAAATGATCCGGTCCTGAAGGATATTGGCATACGTAGCTGGCACTTTAAGGCCATGCTCAGTAGGCGATTCCTGCAAATGTCTGTAGACATTTTATGCCAGCTCGGGGTAGACACACCTGACCGGTGGAGTATCCTTGACGAACAGTACGGAACCTAAAGGATTTGATGGGAGTCGTTCTAGCGGAGGCACAGGTGAGGTTTCTTTGGAGACCGAGGACCCGCAGATGATGGCAAGAGCTCTCTGGAGAGAGAAGGCCTACTCCGTAACCACAAGGCAAGCATGAGCTTCCAACCTCGAACGCCTTTCGGCTCAAATGAGTGTGCCTAACTAAGCCCCGGCCTGACGGCAAGAGGGGGGGTCCCCAGTTCTTTTAAGAATAGGGGGGCTAGGCTTAAAGAGAAGTACCAACCGTACCCCGCCTCGAGTCGACCCCACCATGCCCAACTTAGGGTGAGTGGGCCCTCCTTACCAAACAATTCAAACGCTATTCGGCTCTAATGTGTGTGCCTAAATAAGCCCCGGCCTGACGGCAAGTTCCTGGACGGGGTTCCTGGTTCCCTCGGGAACCGGGGGCTAGGCTTTAAGAGAGGTGCTCATCCCACCCCGCCACGAGTCGACCCCACCATGCCCAACTTTGGTTTGGTAAAGATGGCCCACTCACCCCTAAGTCCATGTGGATTCGGCAGTTTGCCTCACGCAAACTCATACTTCTCTGCGGAGTAGTCCCTGTAAGACCGACGAAACCTCTGGCACGGGTGGTGGAAACGGACTTGTGAGATTTCGTAGGTTTCCTCACAGGTTGGCTAATCCAGAGCCTTATAGAGGTCTGGGGGCCCGGGTGGCACAACCACCTGATTGGATCCACGTAAGCCCTCCTACAAAGGTGACGACATAGGACACTAGTGAAAGTCCGCTTGGGGGAACCCATCATTGTTGTTTCCTATCTAAATGTCGGCGGTGCCCTGGTCATCAGTAGGATGAGAAGGTACAAGTCCGAGTTGCTCTTCAAGTACTTGCTGAAAAGAGCCGAACCCTGTCTAAGAAGGTGAGTGGCAAGTAGCTGATAGTTAGATAGTCCCTCTAACTTTTGTGTCCTTTTCCCTCTTAGGACTGACGCCCAGTGCCCACGGGCAGCAACAGACGTCTCCTGCCGGTGACATGGAAACTATACAGTTCTCCGGCCGGTGTTGGCTATGGCCTGCGATCAAATATTTACCCACAGGTAGGTCGGCAGGTAAGACAACATAGCCTTTCTATCCACTACTTTCACTTTGTTAGGGCCCTGGTGTGGCGCCTGAGGTGGCCGAGACATGAGTAAGCAAACAGGTCTGGGACGATGGTAGGAGGTGGCGGCCGGCGCGCTGATTTGTAGTGCGTCCGGAATGGAAGGCGAGGCTGTGACAGCCTCTTAACTCCCCGCGCGGGGGAGGACAGGGAACGTTGCGATAAGGCCCCGGAAAGGAAGGGGAGCCTAATGATCGGGTGGTAGTCGCCCCTCCCGACTTGACTTGACATACTGTGAACGAACTCGTCGATTGGCTTGCCAATGGTGCTCGAGGCGAATGGAAGTTGCTTGTATCTTCCGTATGAAATGATCTGTATTTATGGCTCATACTAACTTTCACCTTTCCACCATTCATGCGCGCAGGGACCCGCTTATCGGGTCTCTCCTCAACGCTCATGTCTTGGCACTCACGGTAGTGGGATGGAGGACGGATGAGGTTGGGCCGGTTGCGGTCGTTTTCAGAGGGTCCGACAACCTTCCACGACCGGTACCAGTTGTAGTTTTGACCAAAATTCTCGAAAAAAGCCCGTCGGGGTTCCCTGAATCAGTCGAAAGGTTGGTTTTAGGGGGTCACGTCGTGGCCGCAGCCAAATGCCTCGTCATCTAATTAGTGACGCGCATGAATGGATT